AATTGACGAATATGATTCTTGCCTGGGGTAATGTGGCACGGATGGTGGAATACGTCGCTTCCGCAAACTACAGCTTGATGGCACTATGCAAATTGGTCGGTACTTGGTATCACGGTGAAAGTAAGTTATTGGATTGATATATTCTTATCGCGTGAGATATAAATGTGAAAATTCGTTATTTAATTTTAACATCAATATTGTACAACAGTTTTATTTATATAAAAACGATCTCGTCTATTCATGCTATTCGTACTGATGTATCATGTTTAATCCGAAAGCACTTCGAACGCTGATGACATCGGTCGTGACCGATTGGATGACTTCGAAGAACGACCGGGCACGAAATACAATGTTAAATATTGCGAGACGTGGCAGAATCTTATCTTTTAGTTGTTACGTGTGCAGCGTGTGCGCGCTCTCATTTTACCTTTTTTTCAATCTGCGGAAGTTCTATCGAAATATGCACCAATCTCAACGGACCCTCGTGTATGGGTCCACCTATCCTTACAACATTCACAGGAGTCCGAACTACGAAATTACTTTTTTTACTCAACTTTCCGGCGGCATATACACGGCCCTCATCAACTCTACCGTCGACAGTTTCGTCTCGATACTCCTGCTGCATATATGCGCGCAGCTGATAAATCTACGTACGGCACTTAACGATCTGGTCGACAAATTAGCCGAAGGATTTATATCCTCCTCGAGATTTAAGAAAGGCTTAGCTGCGATCACTATCCGTCACAAACATCTCATCAGGTATGCCAACAAAGGCAGGTTATTTAATATAGTGCAAAACAATTTTAAACATTTACAACAATTTATTCATGAGATATCATCATTAATTATTTATAATATTTTACAATAAAATTCAATGTGTCTTTCTCTTTCATATTTGTAAAAAGGGGTGTATACGTCTCATAAACAAAAAATATTTTTCTGATTAAGATATTTTTTTAAACATATAATATGATTCTAAAGATTCTACAAATTTTAAAAAGTCTTAAAACTCAAACTGTGGACAATAAAAAAAAAAAAGATATAAGTTTACTTTCAGAAATTGAGATCTAAATTAAATCTTTTTTAAAATTTGTACATTAATATAATTATAATTAATCAATAATATAATTAATTAGAGTATATATAAAATACATGAATTTTTAAGGAACGCAAAGACAGTTGACGACTGCTATAGCGCTGTATTATTTGTACACATGTTTGCCGCTACTTTTCAACTGTGTTTTGAAAGCTTTCAAGTTTTCATGGTAAGTAAGATATATTTGTTTTCTGTATAGTATATGTTTATGCAACAGAAAAATTTAATA